TACTGTACATGGGGTTTGAGTCTTTTTCTAGACACCTTTTTTCTTGTATTATTTCGTTTATTCAACATCTTTTATAAAGTGCTCTTATCACATTTTTATAGGTGAGGAAACTGAGGCAGAGAAAGGTAAAGTAATTTGCCCAAGTTCAGAAATAGAGAAGCAGAATTTAAAAATTTCGTAGATGAGACTAAAGCCAAGTGACATTCACTCCCAACAAACCAACTGTATTATGGCCTCAGCTCCTTGAAAATAAAGATAAATTTAAAAAATTATTTTTCAGATCTCCACACACTGAGGCTCAACCTAGCCTATGGATTTAGAGTCAGCTGGAATGGGAGGGCTCTAGGGAAGCGTTTTGAACATGGGTTTCTGCAGAAGGGATGTTATTTGTGAAAACAAGGAAGTCGGAGGAAGAGCAAGCTTAGTTGAAGGTGAAATGATGTATTTCAGGTGTGACTCAATTTTGTATTCATGTTTAGTTAGATGGATTAAATTGTCAATGATTACTATCCCATAGAGCTATAGATTGTAAGCTAATTCTAATGTCTTCTAATATCTAGAAGTAGTTTTAGAAAAATGTTCTGAATTAATATCAAGTTTTCTGCTGTTATGACTGATTACTTCTCTGATCTAAGCTTTGTCTTACTTTGAGTGAAATTGTTAAAGTTGGTAAGTGTCTAAAGTTGTATTTTGAATTTTTGCAAGTGTTCTTGGATTTCACCAATTTTACAGCCAATACTTTGAATCAACAGAAGTTTAAACTCATCTTATTTTCACGCTGATAATGCATTTCACACAAAGGTTTTAGACAGAGTTCTGTAGACAGAACTACAGTTCTGTAGACAGATTCATAGCTTCCTAATTGTTCTTCTCTTACCTCATTAAGTCCTCGATTCATCCTTAAGTCCTGGATAAACACCAAGCACTCAATAACTGTTTCTTGAATTGCAAGGACAGGAATATTTAGTTTTGAATAATCTAATTTGTATCATATTGAACAGCTGAGCTATTCTAAAATAACACTTTTAATGTCAATTTTAAAAGTGGAGTCCTGGAGTGGGAGAAATCTTTTGGAGATTTAATCAACTGAAGTTTGATTTTCAGGAATGAGTCTAAAGCAAATTTCTGATATTTCTATTCTTGAAAGGTGAAGTGAGTTACAATGGCTATGGGGGGTAAATATTTTTTGTTTTGAGGTATTTGTATGTTTTTATAGATTTCTGGAAGAAAGGGCTATTGAAATGGAAATAAACTTAGTAAATAAGTAAAATATAATGCAAAATTTAGGGCAAAGAACCAAAACAGCTACAGAATTTGCAGTTATTTAGTTGAGTTCTGAAATCAACTTATTTATTCTACTTAGAAAAAGTCCTGCTGGGGCTGTCTAGTCTTAAACTGATCGCTGACTAGAATCACAAGTAGAGTAACATTCACCTTCACAGCATTTATGAAACTGCCTATTTATTTCGAGCGTTCCTATCTCTCCCCATGTACACTCACTTCCATGCTTCTACATGGAGAAACTTCCCCAGCACTTGAAGTTTGGATCTTAAATTTAAACCCACAAAATAAGTAGAAAAATGTAAAAGAGGTAATTCCCTTTGACTTACTTTTCATAGCAGTATTATTTTCCTGGTTTGACTGGGGTTGATATTACATCATAAATTTGTGCTTACCCATCTACATATGACCAGTAATCTGTATGTTGGTTTAAATTTAAGTTTCCTAGTACAGGTCATGATGATGTAAGCCTTTTGGAATAGAGTTGGCATATTGGCAGAGTCTGGTTCTCTCAGTGTAAATGTGTTACCCTGGACTAGTTGCTTAGTCTGAGTGATTCACTTCAGCAGTTGCTAATTCAGGAGTTAGATCTTCCTTCATGTGCCTCATAAAGGGAAAATGATGTATTAGCAGAATTAAATCAACAGGTGCAATGCAATGAGCTAAGCTGAAGCTTTAACTTTGGGCATGCCAATCAGAACCCCTCTTCAGGGAAGACAGTGCCCAGTTATGCCTAGCCCTGGAGGCACTGCTGGCAGCATGAACCCCAACATGGGGAGATGATGAGCTCCTCTTCCTCCTGTCACCTCCCATCCTCTCCTTCAGCCTGTGGCTTTGAATATTCACTAATAGTCTCTAGTGAATGTCCAGCTGAAGTCATCTTCTTTTTTTTTTTTTAAAGATTTATTTATTCATACAGAACTGGGGTACAGACCAGAGATGTGGAGGGTGAGAGGATTCACCAGAGACAGAGTGGGGAGCAGAACAGGCAGATGGACAAAGTACACTGCTGAGGGGAGCAGCGGGTGGGTCAGAAGAGGTCTGCCGAGCCATGTGGTCACCTCCGGGGCAGGCGGGGATCGAACTCATGCGGAAGTGGCTTAAGCTTCTTGATGCAGTGCTTTAACCTGCTGCGCCACCAGAGAGGGACTGAAGTCATCTTCTTAAGGACTCACTATTTACTAGGGATGTTCACCCATGTACCTCCTCCCTTAATAGTTGCTCACTCTCTTAACGGAACACTATTCCTCTTTGCCTTCAGCAAACACAGTTCATTGTATTTCACCTTAGCATTTCTTATGAATATATATTTATGTATCTATTTTACCATACATGTTTTATTGTCTCCCCTTCTTATTTCAGTGTAAACTCAGAACATTTTTTTTTTCTCATTTGTGGAAAATAAAGCCCAGTCTGTCTAGGAAGCATGAGTAAAAATGATGATGCCCTTCATGAGAGAAATGAAAACCTAGAACTTTCAAGGTTAAATTAAACTTATTAAAAAACAGGAACACCCATCTCTGACGTCCTCTAGACGATTGTTTCTCTTTAGAATTTCTGCAGTTTCATAGTGTTTAAAGATGTAAGCCTCTCTATTTTCTTTCACAATCAACATATATATAGAATGTTATGGTATTTCACTTTTAATTTTTAGTTACTAGCATGGCAAAAAGACTGGGTGTTGGAAATACAACCTGTCATCTTCTTATGGGTTAAGAGGAGGAAATAAATGACTGTAGGGGAAGGCGAAGACAGGGAGTGTGATCAGGAAAATGACTCCAAAGGAAGGGAAGCTTGATCTGGACTTTGTAGTTTGGAAGATTTCACCCTGCTGTCATGGTGAGATGGCGCCATGGACCATCATCTAATGCAAAGAGGAAATGCGACTTCAGGACCACAGGGAGAGAGGAAGATTGAGAATTGGGGAAGTGAAGTGGCTTGTCTTTGCTACTTTGTCACCTGGGTCCCATGCTGCAGGCATGGACCCTAAGTTATATATTTTTCTCCTGTGGCAGAGAAGTGTGAACTCCTTATTTCCCTGAGAATCTGGAGATGAACCAAACAGGCTGCAGAGACATAGCCCAATTGCCTTGAGGCAGTGGTCTAGGGGCACATTAAGATCCAAGTAACTCACCTTTATAAGGCTCCCCAACCCCTCCAAAAAAAGTGTTTTTAAAGTGCTGAGAGTAACAGGATTCTGTATGCTTTTTGTAGAATTGTTTTTCAGGAATTTGTAATATAAGCAACAGTATAGGCCTATTCCCACAGATAGGCTAATTTCTTAAATTAGGTTGTTTTATCAAAGGTGTTACTGGAAAAATGAAATTTAATCATTTAATGTACTGAAGCAAACCAAGTGTGGTAACAGTTGCAATGTCATAGTTAAATCTTCTGTCCAGGTAGGTTTTTCTACTTTTCTTGCATTCACTTAGAATATGGGGTACTTTAACATGACCTCATTTTTTTCTGACCAAGACTGATTTCCCTGCATATCCATCTCCCAATGCCACATAAACCTCACAGCCTCATTGGTTTCCTTCTCTTTCCAAAGTACTCATTGTTTACTAGAGACCAATACTGTTGTTGTTTTTCCTCCTTTCAAATCTTTTTTTTTCTTGCCCAGAGAATACTTTTTATAATATGTTTTTTTTTGATGGTTTGGCAAATCCCAAAAAGCTTGTGGCATAAATTATTAAAATAAAATGAATGATTTTGACTTCCTAATCTTTTTGTATGCAAAAGAGAGGTATTTTTTGTTATTTCTAGAGTAGTCCTTCATCTCTCAGCTCCCATGGTCTCAGGATTTCCCTGCAGAACACGAGCCAAGGCTTCAAGTGTGTAAATATATGCTCACATTTGTTTTTCTACAAATGTGAACAGTGAACCCACCACTTCCCAACTATTTACCGACATGCCCCCCCATCAAAGCAAATATCCCCAGTAAATTATACATACTTGGTTTACGGTGTTTTGGAACCCTATAGGGCCCCTTGCTGGGATCCCGATATCTGTGTGGTGTCATCTACTCAAATCCGGGGAAGTTCTCCACCACTGTCCTCAATATGGCACATTCTTATAACATGACAAACTCCCCCTGAAACATCATTCTCACATTTGTGAATAGGTTGGTTTTCCCTGCTATCAAGGGGAGAATTTGTATTGTCATCACTGCCCAAAGGGGAAACTGAGGCAAAGAAGTTTGCCAACTTTGCCAGGGCTTAAAGACTTCCAGACCAAACTTCCAGTCCTCTGACCATCACACAGGCATATAGTTCAGTGGTTAAAAAAAGGAAGAAAAAATTATATGAAGCTATATATTTTGTAGACAATATTACAAAAACAGCCCAAGAAAATTCTCTGGGTGATAACTCTTTGGTCAACAAGTAAATGAAAAGGCAGGATGAACATTAAGGAGCATCCGGTTCCTGTCCCCTAGTTTTGAGGATCCAAACTCAGGCATTTCACTCGCTTAATCCATAGGGCAAGTATGTGGTGAGCCGGGCCGCACCTGTGTTTCTTGCCTGCCAGTTCCTAATGTTCCTCCCTCCACCTTAATTTTAAGTCACATTTCTAAAAATCGAACAAACACTCATTAATCACAGCCTTCCGAACTCACAGTGCCCCTCTTTCCCTATTTTTATGGCTCGGACTTTCCAAAGAAGGGAGCCAGAAGTCATCAGACTGGACCCTGGGACTCTCACACCTCACAGTCACTTTACCTGGCAAGCTGTGGAGCGCATCTTCATTCTCCAGAATGCCTCTCTGTTTGGCCGCCTGCAGCTCACTTTTGGATTTCCAGACCAGCTTTACCATCCTGATCATCTCTGGCAAGTCCCAGGGCAGCGGCCCCTGCTGGCACCGCGGCCGGCTGCCCAGGGAGGAGGGCAGCACACCTTCTCGGGCCGGCCACCGTCTGCCTGGCTCTGCCGCGGGGAAATAGCGCTCCAGCACCGGCATTCTGCCCTGATCCCCAGAAGAGGAGGTCGGGCTGCTGCCGCTGCCGCCGCGGCCGCCGCTGCTGCTGCTGCTGCTACCCGAGGGGAAATTCTTCCCGGACAGGGGAAGGCAAACCCCTGTATAATCCTCTCCAGCTTCGGAAAGGCAAGCCTCCTCCAGCCTGGCACAGCCTCCCTGCCCCTCCAGTCCCTCCACAAACACTGCGAGGAGAGTGATCCCTTCCCAAGGTTTCTCGCTGCTGCGAACTGTTACTGTACTCCTTCCTTAGAGATAGAAAGCATTTTTTTCCTTCTCTCCCAGGCACTGACTTCACAGCACTTAATTAATCCCAGGCTACAGCTGGAACGACAGCAGTGGGGGGAAGCCATTGAGGTTTTAGCATTTGCTTTTCCTCTTCTTCTGATTTATTTGTTCTCAAATCTCTTTGGGTGCTTGTCAAAGTTTTGTCAAATGGCTTGTTTGATCGTCAAGGGCTTCGGACAGAGATTCGGGGTTCCCCTTTGCCAGTCTCTCAGAAGGGTCCCCCAGAGACTCGCTAATTGGAGGTGTCAGGTAAGGAGTCGCCCTGCGGTGCTGGAAGCCTAGAAGCTGCCGGGCGCAAGCCCTGCCAGCCCCAAGGAGCTCTCAGAAGATAGGAAGCTCAGCTCCTACAGGATCCATCTGCATCTGCTTCTTTCTGGAGGACCTGGACTCGGCTGCTTTGCCTGTCCACTACCGTCTGCATGGGATGGTTATCAGCAGGCTCTGGGGCTGATTCTCAACCGGGCAGTTCGTGGTACTCTCCTCCTCCACACCCCTCCCCCTTTGCTGTCCTTTGGTTCTCAGCAAACCTAACTGGGGTTTGGCCTATTAGTCAAATCCCTTTGTAACCTCAGCTGCCCTTCAGCTGGAAGGGAAATAACACTGAATCACATTCCAAAGCTAACTCTGAAAGAAGTAAATTTGGGAAGCATCAGGATCCTCATGCATACGTGCAGAGGGGTTGCATGGTCTAGACACAAAACTTGGGATTGTTAAAAACACATTTCCAAGGAGAATAGTCAAAACCCTAAAACACACGGGGGGGGGGGGGCTTGGGGGCGTGGGAGGTGCAGGGGGAGGTTAAAAAGAAAAGAAGTGAAAGAAAATGTTAAAGATTGATTTTCCAGAGGCAGAGCTCTGTGGACTTTATATTTGGGCCACTAACTGTTGTTGGTGGTTCAGTTGAGGCTAAGCATGGGCCATGGGTGACCTTGTGTCCTGTGTCTCAGAGATGAGGCACTGATCCTGGAAGTCAGAACGGATGCAACAAAAGGGGATGCCCCCTGGAGCTTATGTGAAAAGCCTTGGATATAAAGGAAAGCAAAGCAAGGGAGTCTTGTATTTGGCACTTCTGCCAGCAAATTGGCTTTGCAGGAACAATTTGAACTTGAACCTTCACGTGGAGAACTCCTGTTTTCTTGGAGGCCATTGTCACAATCCCATCTTTCTCTTCTCTTCACATCTCTACACTGCAAAGTACTTTATTTTTCTTGGCATTTTATTTTGCTGATGTACAATCTGTTGCCTCCTGCTCTACATTCCTTTTGGGGTTGGCTTATCACACAGTCATTTGATGTTTCTTTAGGGGACAGGAGACTTGGGGGAGAGGAGGAGCCTTTCAAGGGCATTGTAGGATGTGTTTAACTTTTATAGTCTTTGCCTCATATTTTAAAAGTTGAAGCCAGCAAAGAATACTGTCATTTTATTGTTATTATTATACCTCCAAACCCATGGCTAATAGCTTTTGTTTTTCCGTGATGAATTAAGTGGCTTTTCTTTTTTTCTGGATGGAAAAGTACATTGGCAAGCCTACTCAGTTTCCTAATAGGTGAAGAAGGGTCAACATTCTTTGAGGATATAAAACAACAGTAAGAGACCTTGGAAATGCAAATGCTTGTGAATTTCATTATTAAAATATTGATCAAATAGCTCTTCCCATAACAACCAGATATTCACACAACCTAGTCAGGAATCTACCTGGGAGAAAGATGTACTTTTTAAAAACTTCCCTCTCTGTTAAGAGTTGGAAGGCTTTAAGAATCAGTTTAACACTCTCACCACTTTTGACAGTCCTTCCAGTTAGCTCACCTTTCCATCAGACTGGGGCATGAAAGCTCTCTAGAATTAAAGGGATTTTATTTCATCAGCACATGGAGGCTGATGTGCTCCATTAGCATATTTCCTGAATAACGTCTTAATCTCACTCTTCAGTCACAAACTTCCTTGACATAACAACTGAAGAGTTTCCTAAGTGTTTGACTATTTTTATTTTTGTGCAGTTATTTTGTAATAGTACTTAGCATCAGGATATCCTGACTCTTGGAACAAAGGGGTTAAGAACAAAGAAAACAAATATATGATATAATATGTCACATACACCAATGCATTACAAATATAACTATTTATCACACATTTCTTCAAGGATGACTTTTTTTTTTTTTTTACAATCTAAAGATGTGTTTCCATTGTAATTCTCTATTGCTTTTTATGTAGTTTCTTGTAAAAATATCTCAGAGGAGTTAAAAGATATTGGGCCATCAAATGTGGTGAATGCTTACTTCCTAGAGGAGATGAGTTAGGGCCAAGCTAACACCAACTCAAACTTTCAATCTCTAAAAGGGATCTACTTCATTTGAAGATTGGAAAATTGAAAATGTTGCACAATTTTTAAATATTCTCCCAAATATTGGATTACCTTCAGCACAGGGTAGAAGTGCAAAAATACAAGAAAGGTCATTCTCATGGTATTTCTGGCTCACACTGAAACAGGAAGTACAGGAAATCTTGCGAGAAAGCTTGGCTCAGGAGCCTTTTGGCTCAACTACATGCTGGAGAGATTGGGATGAACTGATAGATGCTAGTGCTTATGGGACTGAAATTCCTGATCCATGTACATTCTCGAAAAGGCTATTTTATTGTGTTTTGTAGCTAACTTCTTGCCAGCTGTGATTTATTTTGTCTTTCAGATAGTTACTATAGAAGAACATGCCTGGAAACCCAAGATTTCCCCCTTGTCTAGTAAACATCATTCACGTTAAGATAGTACCTGCAGTCAGAAGTTTGGATCATCATAGATGGGAGAAGTTAGTGGGGTAGTCTCTGTGCCTAGAGGAGTCTTAGCGCAAAGAAGTCTCATTTACATGCCTTGGAAGGATTCTAGAAAATGTTAATATTCATAATGAATGGGCGAAAGATAGGAAATTTTAAGACAGATTTTCAAAAACCTCATTCCTCTCTGTCCCTTCCCACTGCCCAAGCATTGTGTGCCAATCTACCATTCTATTAAAAGGAAAATAGAATAGTTCTCCTCTGGTATGAAAGTAACAGAATGAGAGTTAGCAAAGTCAAAAACCCTTGTTCAATAGACAAGGGATTCCATCAAAAATGCTATGTGTTTGCAGTACAAAGGAAAGACTTGATAACCACAACACTGAGGCATATAGCAAAGAAGAGAGAGTCAAAGGTATAATTGACTTAGAGCCTGGATTATTCTGAAGAATTCTGGGGTACTATGTCAAGAATTCTGGGTACTATGTAAAACATCACAGACTTATGGTCAGTCATTGGACTGATCAGCCCTTAACATATATGATCTAAAAAAATAAAATCTTAGCAGTATTAAGTATTTAAAAAATGGAAACTTACAGACATATTCATTTTAATTCTCTATGTCTATCAATAAGTTTTCACAAAACTTCATATAAATTAAAATCTTCTCTGTCAGATATTTTAAAAATATTTTATAACTATTAATTTCCATCTCTCTTCTATCTTTAAAGAAAAATTCCAAACGATCAAGGCAAGTTGCCTTAACCTTTCCTCACCATTCTTTCAAATAAGGATGTGGAATCTCCCCCCACCACACAATTTTGACCAACTTGTTTCACAAGTGAAATTCCCATCAAATTAAAAGTGAGCAAGGAAGGAAAATGGGTCTTTCAGCTTTATTTAAAGTCTACGTAGAATAAGTGCAGACAATTTACAGTATCTGCACGGAGAAACAGAAGCATAATAACTTTGGCCTTAACTCATCTCAAGGAACAATGCCAGCAAGTAGGAAAAAGTACATGGTCTACAGACCGGCCATACACAGCAGCATGCATTTCCACTCCCGCATGGAAAGGGGGCATAGAAAGGGGGCAGGTTGGGTAGGAAAAGATGAGGTGACTTGGGGCAGAGCAGGGGGTGGCCGAGGCTGAGCTGACAGACTTGCAGTAGGTATCTTTTGTTTTCAAAGTAAGTATCTAAACTGTAACAAACTATTCTCTCATTCACTCTGCAATGTGAATGAACAGCAAGAATAACAGCAGAAAGGCATGTCTTTGGTGCCAGTTGTGGGTCTTGCTTCAGGACCTGTGGGCCTGCCTGACTGGGATTCTGGTTATCACTGTGAGCTATTGTTCTAGTGCTTTCTTTTCTATATTAAATAGAAAGGCCAGAGTTTTACTGGCATGAAACCTCCATCCTGACTCTCAGATATCTTTTTTCAAAAAATATTTTATCAAAGTAGCATTGCATCAGCATCATTATAAACTGACTTCTATATATATTACATTAAAGTCACCACTCAATGTCCAATTCTAGCCTTCCCCATACGTCTGAGCATGTTCACCAACTGACCCACCTCGTGCCTTTTGTTTTATTTAGGGCAATCATTTGTTTTGTTGCTGTATATATAACCTATATGAACACACATATTGTTTATCTTTCTCCATAAGACTTATTTCACTAAGCATGATACCACAAATTCCATTTATGTCTTTGCAAATGGTAAGGTTTTGCTTTTTTGTAACAGGTGAGTACTTCTATTCTGCGGTAACTACTGCTATCCCTGACAGTTTATATACAGTGAAAGAATTTAGTAACACAGAGGATGAGAACAAGATGCCAGGATGGCTTGATTTTCTCCACTTCCTCCTTTCCTCTCTCACTGAAGACCTAATGCTTTGGTATGTGATGATGTCTTCCTCTAGCTGAAGTTTTTCTAGAATTTTATAACTTAGTTCTGTTTGTATCTGGTGGTAGAGTACACTTTTCACAATATAATAACTGGGTGTGACCATTTCTTTTTTCACTTTAGTTTTAAAAATTTTTGTACAGAAGAACTGGTGTGTAGGCAAAAGGTAGGGGGGGTTGGCAGTGGTGGTGAGAGGATTCACCAGAGACAGAGTGGGGAATAGAACAGGCAGACTAAAA